AAGGTCAGGGACTCCCTTCCATACAAGAGAGTTTCTTTGAAGTGAGCATATGTTATGGGCAAAGCACACAACAACAACAGTGCTTGATCTCTATCATCGATCTTCACATCAATATTTTCAAGATCAAGAATCAGATTGTTGAACATATCCAACTGCTCAGCCAACATTTTGTCTTCACTCATCTTGAATGAATATAAATCTTGCTTCAGGTAGAGTCGATTCACCAGAGATTTGGTCTTGTACAAACTATCAAGTTTCACCCATAATCCCGATGTTGTAGTCTCCTTTGATACCTGACGAAGAACCTTATCACCAAGGCTCAACAATATTGCGTTGTGGGCTTTCTCGATCATACCCGTCTTTTCTTTTTCCGTTAACGCAGCGTCCATGGCTGCCTCACCCTTCAACGCTTCCAAACAACCCTGCTGAACCAATAGGGCTTTCATCTTCAAGCGCCACAGACCGAAGTCGTTCACTTCGATGAACTTTTCAATCTCATACTTTGTTGAAGGCGTCTTCTCCATGCTCACCGCACCAATTTGTTGTGAATCGGATACCTTAAAACTAAGTATAAATAGTTTCTTAATGATCAAGAAACACACAAGAGTTAGGGTTAATAAAGAAGAAAACAACAAGGATTAGTTATTAAACTGCTATTCTTTCCTTTCTCTTAGAACAAGATTACAAGTATACAAGAATAAAAAAATAACCTCTCTCTCTCTCTTGAAATTAGGATTTTATCTTCCTATTTTTCCTTATGACAAGATTGAGAAACTAGTATCCTATTTATTAGAAAAATAGCACACTAACCTAATGGGTTTTTTTAACAATTACCCATTACAAACTAACTTAGGGTACAAGCTAACTTAAACAATTGGGCTTACAAGCAAGGCCTAATTCAACATGCTAACAACCCTAACAATATTGACTAATGCATGTTAGAACAAACTTCGACTATAACACGCATTACTCGCAAACAGACTTTGACCATACTAGAGTTCGATCCAACATCTCACAACTACAAAGGCGATGATTTGGGTCTGCGGTCGTTGAGAGATATTAATGATGCTTCCAATTTGGTGCAGGGTTTGTTTATTCTTAATGAAACTGGGACTTGGGGAGCTTTGTTGAAAGCTAGAGTTTTCAAAAACGGCATGCCAGTTAGATATCATGTTTTCTCTTCCATTTGGACTGGTGTGAAATCCTACTTGAATACTCTTCTAGATAATAATGTTTGGATGTTGGAAACAGAAAGAATATTAGAATTTGGTCGGATAATTTGTGTGGGGAACCATTAAGAGAATTGCTTCAATTTTCGGATGGCTACTTGCAGAATTTGAATGCCTGGGTTAGTGATTTTATTGTTGGCAGCAGTATTTTTTCCTACTGTAATGGTTTCGGCTTTCCCAGCTCTGCTTTAGTTTGCTATGGAAGTAGTTCTTAATGTTTTGCATAACCATATGCTTATGTGAAAGCATACTGATAGTGGTCATCTCAATCTTAAAGACGCATACTTACATGTGAAAGGTAACAATGCTGCTTCTAAATGGGGCAGATTTATTTGGAGTCAGTTATTCCTCCTTCTCATTCTGTGGTATTTTGGCGACTTGGCCTTGCTAAACTCCCTACAGATGACAAGATGATGCTAAGGGGCTTTCATTTGCCTTCAACCTGCAGCTTGTACTTAAAAGAGGTGGAAAGTATTAAATCATTTATTTTTCGACTGTTCGTATGCTTGTAGTATTTGGAATTGGTTGTGGGGAATGATTGATTATTGTACTCCTATTGTTAGTTTGGACGATTGTTATTCGATCACGAACAGACCTACGTCTGCACAGTGCAATTTGGTGTCCATCGCTTCGGTTGTGAGCTCAGTTCAAGTTATTTGATATGCGCGAAACCGTGCCAGATTTCGTAACGTTAATTCCTTGAAAGTCTTCTTGTTCCTCAATAGTTTATATGACTATAATGGTGGGAAATTCTTGCAAAACCTCTGCCAACTCTTCCACAAAAGAACTTTCGATTTTGAAGAATTTCTCCATTAATATTCATCCTCTTATCCTTAAGACTGTAAAGAAAATTTTGTGGTGTCCTCCTCTTCTAGATTAGGTTAAAGTCAACATTGATGGGGCATCTTTTGGAGATCCCATTAGAGCGGCGTGTGGCGGTATGTTTCGAAATCATCTTGGAGCGCATCTCGGTAGTTTTGCTTACAATTTGCCTTCGAGAAATGCGTTGTTTCCTGAGATTATATGAGCAATCTTGTAATAGAATATGCTATTAGTTGTAATTGGTCTAATTTGTAGTTGGAAACAGATCCAATGTTGCTTGTTTAAGTCTACAGTAAACTATATGTCTTGCCTTGAAAGTTAAGGAACATATTAGATAAATTTATGTTAAAGATTAGGAAATTTAATTTTTTGGCGACTCATATATACAAAAAAAAATATCATTGTGAAGATAAGTTAGTTAATTTAAATTTTCAATTTCTAATTTTACTTGGTGATCTGATATTCACTCATTTTTGTACCTATTTTTCATCTTAATCTTATTGGGCTTTTGCCCTCATTTATTTCTATGTTACAAGGGAACTAGGGGTGTGCAAAAAAAATCGGTTATTGTTAACCAAATTTGTATCCAAATTGTTCCACTTTTAAAAATCCAAACCAAATGATAAAATATAAATTTGGTTATCCATTTTGTTATCCAAATATAAACCGGTTTCCATGTGATTTAGTTATTGGTTATCCAAATTTCATTAATTTGTTAAATTAATATGTTTTTGTCTCCTTTCATGTTTTATCATATACACGTTATAAACTAATTTTATATTTTAAACCAAAAGATTCAAAATTTTGTATTCTAAAATGAATTCAAAATATCAAAAAATTTTAGGATCACTTAGATATAATTTTTGCCTCTTAAAATTTATTGTTTTTTTGTTTGTTTTAATTGTAAAATATTTTTATTTACAGAGAAACTTGTGCCACTTATTCAAGAAAAAAAATCATTCGAATCATTGATCATTTATATATATTATGTATTTTCCATTTATATTTCTGTCCAAAGATTATATTGGTTTGGTGATATCTTGATTTGTCCAATAACCTTTTAACACCTTTGATTTTCTTTTTTTTTATTTACTTTTCCAAAGTAACAAATAAAGTCCAATTTGAATCTAATTTAAAAGACACAATCACTCCACCAACTCAAATAAATCCATAAACTTCGATTCTATTCTAAAAGTTTCATTAAATAAATTTAGTCATTATCATTCATCAAATCAATATTCTAAAAATTTCTGCAACAATATTAATATCAAAATCAACTTCACATTAATAATGTTTAAGACTTCATTAAACTGTTTTCATTTGAAAGGAAAAATTGTATTATATGTGATGAGTCATGAGAGTGATTGCCAGATAATTGCAGATTGCAATCCAAAGTTATCACTTGACTCATGGCACCTTGATAATTTGATTGAGCTATATTATTAATTTATTAGTTTAGAGAGTCTCAAATGGACGTTATTTTTATCTACCATATATATATAATTTTATTTAATTATATTTTAACAATAAAAAAGATTTATAAAATTCTATTTAAATAGAATTTAATCGTTAAAAATTTAAATTATATGCGATAATATATTATATATCCTTAACCACAGTCCTTATTATTATTATTATTATACAACAAATATAAAATATAAATTTTAATATCTTAGAGTTTATTAATAGAAATTGTAAAATCTTTAGCACGTTAGGTTCACACGTACCATACTGCTCTATTATATTTTAAAATGAATTTTTCGATATGTTCATGGTATGAAGTATTTTAAAATAAATTTATTAAAACGTTATAAATTAAAATATTCATGTTTAATTTTTTATATATGTAATAATTAATTTTTCTGTACTGCCAAATACTCGTGCTTGAACATTTTCATTTCTTAATACAAAATATAGAATTAAAATGTTTCAGATGGTTTATCAATTATTTGGTAGTTTACAATAAAATTGATTTTTAAAAAAAATTAGTTTTAAAACTGATTTTTTTTATAAAATTAGTTTTAAAACTGATTTTTTTAAAAAAAATAAAAAACTAATTTTGAGAGAAACCGGTTTAAAATTGGTTTTTAAAAAAACTGTTTTTTTTTTTAAATCGATTTGAAATCGAACCAATCCACTTATAAATTGATTTTAAAAAAATAAATCAATTTTATATAAATAGTTTTAAGATTCAAATCAAACTATATATATATATATATATATATATATATATATATATATATATATATATATATATATATATATATATATATATATATATATATATATATATATATATATATATATATATATATATATATATATATATATAATTTGGTTTGGTTTATAATTCATGCTAATAAATTAAACATATTAATTTAGTGAATGACTTAACCTAGCATTTAGCCAATGACAAAACAAGGTTTTTTCTTGTGGTGTATAATTTGATAATCATGATGAAAAGCAATTCTTTTGTTTATGAGAAACCTAGCCATCTAAATAAAAGTGAACTAAATACATGAAAAACGATACCCCTATAAGTAAGTGGATAGAAAAAGATAAAAATAACTTTTCTTGACGGTCAAAACTTGTACGGATAAAAATGTGGAGAGAGAGAGATTGGATATGGATGTATATATATAATTAAATTAAAAATTGAATTAATTAGATGAAAGTGAAAGATAGAAGATAAGAAGAGAAACGAAAAAGTAGAAAGGAGTAGTTGGTTTCCATTTTCCAATAAATGGTCAAATGAGTCAAAGTGGAAGCTAATACCTTATCAACACTTTTTGAGTCACAAGTAACAAGTAACAACATACCAACAACTGAAACTGTGGCTAGTTAGGGTTGAACTATATACATATCCAACAACTGTTTTTTCTTCCTATCCTATTCATTCAAAACTCACCTCTATCTAGTTTAATATGTTTTTATGATGGATCTGTTCATTCAACACATTACGTCTTTGAGAAGCTTATACCTGCGTGTTGCTTGTCTTGGTGATGCCAATGAACTCTTCTTCTTCTCGTCACGATGCTGCTTCATTATTTTCTCCCCGGAACATTCAGAAGAACCACCACCATTGATTGCTACTCTCACAGCCGGTTTCTTGGAGCCAACACCGCTTTTCCCTTTGCTTTGACACCAATCACACTCTTCAATCTCGCTTAATTCTCCATAGAAGTTACTGCAATACCTAAAGTTAACATGAATTCATATTGTTATGAATTGAGAATAATAATTAGTAGAAGAAATTGAAGAAAGATGTAATGAATTCACTCACGAGTGTTGGAATCGGTGGCGACATTTGCTGCATCGGAAAAGTTTGTCAGTGAAACCAACGTCACCGCACATGCAGCATACAATTTGAAGATCTACCATAGCTAACTTTCAACTGAGAATAACTCAGAACTAAAACAACACAAAAGAGTGAGAAAGTTTATATATAATAAATTTATGTGAGTCGGTTTGATAAATTAATAATACGAATAAAAGATAAAAGGAATTAAGAAAATTTCAAAAGCAGATAAGCAGACCACAGGTTGCTTGCAGTCCTTTTCAGTTAAGGCAGATTAAAGGAACCTTAAAAAAGAAATACATGTTTAAAGACAATTTTGCCCCTACGGATTACACCTCTTCTTTCTTTCTTTTAATATACAGTTTTTGTCCACTTTGTTGGTTTTGGCAACTTTCTCTAATCAATCAAAGGCGGTTTGTGTATTCATCACAATCACGCTCCACGCACTGTCTCAAACAAAACAATTTATGTGTTTGTACTATATGGCACAAAAATGAGTGCAAGTGTATATTAGTATAAACGTGTTACAACAGAAACCGACCAAACAACGATTCGTCTGGCCCAACATGGAGCTTATATATCATCTTCTTCCTTAGATTCTCAATTCAAGGATGTTGATGTTTAGCAACTAATAGTGCTTTGAATACTATAACATGAAAAGGACATTACAAAGATATGCTTCATTCAAAGATAACTTCATACTTAGGAAAATCATATTATTGTCTTACAAATTAAACACTCTTGGGTAATCTATTAAATGCCCAATTCAATTTTTGATAGTTTGAAATATGGTTATTGATAGTTCAATAACTAGTTATTGATAATTCAGTAACTGATTCTTGATAATTATGTACGTGATTCCTATTAACAAAAGGTTAGTTAGTAGTAAGATTATATATAAGGAATCACTACTAAAAATTTGGTTAAATGGTTTTATTATTAAAACAAATAAGGTGGTAGTTTCGTAAATAAATTAAAATTTTGCTATAAAGGATTTTACATTGGGCCTGGATTTACACCCAATGTAAAAAGTTGTCTAACAAAAAACTAACAAGGAAAGGATTTCACATCAGACCTTGTTTAACAACCGATGTGAAAAGTTCTATTTTGTTTTTTATAACGGATTTCACATCGGGCCTGGATTTGCACCCGATGTGAAAAGGTTGGCTTTTACATCAGTTGGCTCCTCACTAAACTACAACTAATGTTAAAACTTCTCACAAAACCCTATTACTAATTATGTAGTTTTTTCCATCATTCTCCATCCCCTCTCCCTCTCACTGTCGTTCCCTCTTACCGTCCGACCATCGCGCCATCACCACAACTTACTCTCTCTCATTGTCCGACCATTGCGTCGTCCACAACAACCTACTATCCTCCACCGCTGCAACCAAACCCTCCCACCACCGAACATTCTTCTTCCCGACACCGCCGCGTCGTCAACACTCTCCTCCACCACCACAATCTTCCACCACTGTCGCGCCACGCCGTCAAACATATGTTAAAACCTCAGGACACAAGAGAAAACCCTTGAATGAGAAACTCAAAAACCCCAGGACGTAGGCAGCTTGCAAAAGCCAGAACGAATGAATGACTCATCTTTCCACTAACTTCTTTTAAGGTAGCAATTTACTAAACCTAATTTCTTCAATTTCTCCCTCTATTTAGATTTTTATTTTTTTTCATTTAATGGTCGCTTAAATGGTCAAGTCTGTCCATGGTTGAATACTAATAAACATATGCATAAATCTGGATATTGTGTTCTTTGATATGTTGCAGCTGTGAGTAATAGTTTTTCATTGATTCTGAGTAATAATCTTCCATTGTTCTTTTATGTTTAATATTTTTTTATTACTTATTTTCAATAGTTTATGATGATTATTTTGAATCACCATCAGCAACTAAATCTTTCATTGAAGACTCTCTTTTTGAGCCCAGAAGTATGAGATCTCTAAATAAAATAAAATTCTATGAAAACTCTCACTAAGTTTATTGGTTGATTTAATGATGCTACTAACTTAGTTGAACTAGTGATCAATACCTTCCAACTACATGAGTCACCATCAAGTTCAACGTTGAAGGATTATTTTTTAAAATATTTAGTGGTCAGTGTTTGGTCTGAATTCAAGAAATAAAAGTACACTATTGTTTGTAGTTTGTTGGAAGTGTTTCTTAGAACTTAATTCCTCTTTATTAGAAATAGAAAAAAATTATGCATTAGTATGTATTAGAACTTAGATGTATGTAATTCCTCTACATTTTCCCATTTCTTTCGTTTGTATTAGATTTTGTATTTTCTGCTTTGATTTCCATGTTTGTAAATTAAATATCCTAGAGTAAAAAATAGTCAGAATTTTGTCTTGTTGACTTTATGCATGAACAAGTTTATCATTTTATTTTGTCCTACATTCACCTATTTTTTATTAGAGATGTGGTCAATGGTTAATTAATATTGGTCATTTGGATTTCTACAGGTATTGTTTCGAATTATCTACAGAAGTATTGTTTTGGATATTCTGATTCTTCTTGGTTTTGGTTCCTACTCAGTTTGGTTTTGATTCTTCTTGGTTTTGGTTCCTACCGTTCCTGTTCATCTTCCGTCTTCGACATAATCTGTTAAGGTGCGTACTATTTTTCTTTAATTTTTATTTATTTCAATCTGTTGTGTTATTTCTTATAGATGTTTGTGAAATTCCGTTGACAGTGTTACTAGTGTTGAATTGCGTGACAATTTATGATGAATTTTGATGTTGAAACTACTTGGTTTGAATGGATTTTGGGTGAGTCTTGAAGATAAAAATGTCAAATAATTTTGATATCAATTTGGTTCTATTTGGGTTTAAATAGAGTAATAGAATTTTTATGATAATACCATTTTGTTAGGAATAATTTTTATGATTTAATTTAATGCCACGTGTTTGCACGTAGAGACTTTTGTTCTCTCTAATGTGTCCAAAAGAGAGATTATTATAGGTGTTCCAATGATTTCACTATGTATGCATTAATTTCAGAATATAGGTGTGGATCGTAGTTGGATGAAAGCTAATCGATTAAGTGCTGAGTACGAACATGGAGTGATGGAATTTCTACAGTTTGCTGAAAATAATGCTAAAAAAATCTTCCTTCTCCTAAAAGTAATGCTGAAAAAAGTCTTCATGTGCTTTTTCTCTGTCCATGTGTTTGTTGTGCAAATCAATAACCAAAACTTAATAAGAAAGAAATCATGGATCATCTAATTTCTGAAGGGATTTGTCAAAGTTATACACAATGGATATGACACGGTGAAGTAGTAGCAAAGTCAAATGTGTCCCAAAGAGATAATGTTAGTGTAGAAATGGATGATCATCTGGAAGACATGATGCGTGATAATGGACAAGATTCGTGTAAGAGGACACATGTGTATGATACTTTATGCAGTGACAAGGATAAATCTTTGTATCCGGGATGCACAAATTTTACACGTTTGGCAGCCGTGTTAAAATTGTTTAACTTGAAGGCAAATAATGGGTGGATTGACAATTTTTTTACTGAATTGGTTTAATTGTTGACGCAAATACTTCCAGAAGGAAACGTAATGCCAAATCGTTATTACGAGGCAAATAAATTATTGTGTCCGGTGGGTTTGGAGTATGAAAAGATACATGCATGCCCTAATGATTGCATATTATACAGAAAATAGTATGTAAACTATAATCATTGTCCAAAGTGCAAGGCGTCACGCTACAATGATATGTAATATTTTGATAGATGAGTAATATTTTGATAGATGAGTGGAAAGACATACGTAAAGACATAAAAGATGTTATTTAGGTTGATGTTAAGGTATTTTAAATTCAACACTTAATTATATTTTATAATCATATACTAACAACATATGTCATATACTAACAACAAATTCTTTATTTATATTTGTAAGCTCATTTCACTATTCCAGAATGTGATGATCCAAAGAAGGATCCGTTAAAACCCCCCACAAAATATTAATAATGTGTAAAAAAAAATGAAACACTTCCGTGAATGAATAATGTATAGATCAAACAAATTTCTACAACAATATTTACAATAACATGGGCCAAAAGTGATGACTACTACTCCATCATCAATCATTACAATAACACCTACAATGTAGCCATTTCCTGCACTGCACTCGACAGAAGCCTACTTCACAAGCTTCATGGAGCCTTGTTTGCTCCATTACATTTGCAGATCCATCCAAAAACAAGAACCTGAATGAACACACAAATGTGAATAAGATGAATGTCATTGTAGATTTTTTTTACATTAGTACATATGTTATATGATTCAACTAATCAATCGAACCAATCACCTATACATTTGACAAACAATACCATTAATAACTGCATTTTCTGCATTAATACCATTAAACACTGCATTTTCTGCATTAATACGATTAAACATAATACCATTAATAGCAATAATTGAAAATTGTGTATCAGAAAGAAAATCAATGTATGGAAAACAACCAAAAAAATAGAATAAATGGTGTAAGAAACTGAATAAAATAATTAATTAAATATAGAACAATAATTTATAATAGATAGAAGAAATCACTGAGAGCAAGTGGTCATGAGAGGAAATCTCATGTCTTCTTCTGTGTCAATGTTACCTAGTCATTATATGACTCTCTTTCGTTAAGTCTCCTCAAGATGCTACCTTTTTTGGTTCTTCTCTCTCGATCTCGACCCCTAATTTGACATGAGAGTGGAATGAGAGAAACAGAAAATAGAAGTTTGCGGTTTGAAATTGAGGCTTAAAGACGGAGATTCTCAGCCATAAATGAGGCTTGCCACTTGAGGTTTCTTGTTAGAGGTCCCGTATATGCATATAAACAAGTCTGAAACAAGTGGAATTGATGATACCTGAAGCCATCGCCCATGCATTTAAAAAGATTTCACATGAATGAAATTGATGCTACAAGAAGCAGGAATAACAAAACTAAATGCATCAAGTTGAAAACTATTTTACATAATATTTTGTTGGTTGGTATTTGTTTTTGGTTGATATTTAGAGAATGAGAAAAAAGTGTTGGTTGGTATTTGTTTTTGGTTGATATTCAGAGAAT